CCCCTCCCCCACTCACCTCCCTCCCCCACTCGTCGGGCTTGTTAAGTCATGATGGGAAGGGTTGAAAGATAAATCCCAGAACATTTAAATCCTCGGTCGGACTGAAGAAGCTTCCAACAGCGCTCACAAACCGGGGGGCAGGTCAGGCTTTTTTTAATTAAGCCTCCTTTTTGTGATACAAGTGTGGGGGGGGGACTTCAGATGAGAGAGAGACACTTTTTTCTACATCCATATGAAGATCACTGTGTGCCAAGTGGCTTTGATTCGAATAGCCGATGCAATGCTTCACTCTTCCTAGCCTTAGGATTCAATAGAAGGCTCCCTGCCGTTGGGAATATGGTGACTGCTGTATAAATGTGATGGGATGACTGAACAACTAGCAGAAATGAGACTCGCTAATCCTTGATCATTCTGTTTTAAAGTCAGCTGCCAAATAGTAGTACGGTGAAATCCTAGACTTGACTTCAAGGGAGCTGGTTGAGCCAAAACGAACACCTGAAAACATTTATATTTGATGTCCATGAGGAAGTAGAGGTAATTTAGCTCATTATTTCCTATAGCGCGACTTGAAATGGTAATCTTTGATTGAGGACCCAACAAATTCATTGTCCATTTTGGTCAATTTCACTATCATAGGATTTAAAATAGCTGAAATCAGGAAACTTGTGAAGATTTTTCAAAACAGAATTTTCAGTGTTTGTAACTGTAGGGATCCTGACCTAAAAAGGAGTTTGGGGGAGCCACAAATTGAGAGTGGGGATTTGCAGTGCAGCTACTCTCCAGTGCTTCTGCTGGCTCTACCTTCAGAGTGGGGCAGCTGGAGGATGGTGGCTGTTGGTCAGGAGCCGACTCCAAAGGCAGAGTAGCAACAAAGAAGGATGGCATAGCAGCACAGTGGTAAGGATGGCAGTCTTCAGAGCTGAGCAGTTGGCCAACAACCTCTGAAAAGTGCGGAAGTCGGGTGGCATACTACATATGGCATACTACATATTCTCCTCTCTTCTCTCTTCCCCCCCCCCCATAACCTTGCAATGCTCCTACAGTTCCCTTTTGGGTCAGGATCAATTTGAGGAACACTGGTCTCCCAATCAAAACTGTGCAGTATAGGTTAAAAGCACAGAGGATCAGCTTTCACAGGGAGAGACCAGATTTCTTGGTCCATGACACCTCTTTCGTGGCCATGACTTTGGTAGTACCCTACTTAAAATACAGGTTCCTGAGCTCAGCCCTCTAATGTCTTCCATCAGAAGAAGAACATTCCTATTTTGCAGCTATCATCTACTATGTTTCAGTATAAGTCCTAAAGTTTAACAGATCTTTATACTTCAGGCAAACTTAGTACAGTACTTCCAACACCCAAGTGATATCTGTCAATAATCACACTTTTTTACACCACTACCCTCACCACTTTATGGATGCACTGAAGCTGAAACACTTGGTGTTTCATTTCCAGTGTGTCTTTGCAGCTGTTGCAAAGCAACCTGTAATTTATTTAAACAGTGCCACAAGTCACAAAATGCAGTTGGGTGGGTGGTTTGCCTTTTGAAATAGGAAGGAATAAAATCCCCTTCCTGCCCACCCTTAATTCTAAAAATAATTGTAGACTAGCTGTACTACAGCTTTAAAAACTACCAAAGCTGCTTTGTACATTTCATTTAAACTTGTATTTTGTAGCCTCATCAAGTGTCAGCTTTAAGACTAAGATTATGGTAATACCAGACTTCTGTGATCAATCGTACAAGAAGAAATCTGAACGTTAGTAAATTCAACGACTTGCCCATTCATGTAAGACTTCTCTCTCTCTTTATTTTAACAAATGCTAGAAAGACATTTTTGGAGCTCTAACATCAACTTCTTGAATGACTCAAACATAAAATTGAGTCAAATAGGGTCTCTGTAAACACTTCATTTTTGCATACCTTTTACTTGCTCTACTTTTGTCATTAGGTTAATTTTATGTGCAACAGTGTGTGCACAAGTACACTAGTAATGAATAAAGTCAGGTACTGATCAAGTTGGAAAAGCTTCCACTAAAGAGGGCAAGAAAGAATATCCTTAACTCACATAAAAATGCATTTTGTTTGGCATTTGTCACCCTAGGAATTGAAGTCTAAAACTTTTTGTATAAACCTGGAAATATAAATAAAGTATCACTTAATGAAAACCAAAATAGATATGGACTTTTTACTAGCTAGCATATTACTGGCCACTAGTTGAAGGCTTGCTTAATTACTACTGTAGACTGTTAAAAACTTATTGATTGATTTTTAGAACAAATTGAACATCCAGAACAAACATGTCTCCAGTATTCTTCCCTCTGTGTAGTCTCTTAATATCACAATGGCTCTGAAGAAAATGCTCTTTATAGTGGCTAAAAAACATACTATTTTTTTAAAGTAGGTTTGCATATTTCAAGTGTTTTTGAGTTGTCTTTAGAGTACTGTAGTCTGAGGTATGACAACCCTATTCTACAAAGCTGAAACACCTGAGTTGAATGATTCCTACAACATGATATGAAGTGTCTCTTGTTAATTCCCTGGTTCCTGTTCGTGTTTTTTATTAATATTAAATTTTTCTAGCCTGATTTCCTGCTTGCAAAAGAAGATTGTGATATCGCCAGAAGGTTCTTACATTGGGATAGGTCTCTGCAGAAATTTGGCAGTGGGAGATGTTGAGGAAGAGCTAGAATAATACACCCGTCTGCTTCACCCACCCACCTAAACACTCCCCTCCCTCCTACTCTAAAATTTGAGAAGCTTAATATGTAAGAAGATTATTAATAAACAAATTGAACTTTAAAAAAATAAAAGCACTTTTCAAGTTGGCACTACATAAAATATTATATCTAAAATATTAAAGATTCATAAATATAAACTTGATAGCAATTGCTTTTTTTCTAAACCATTGGCCTTTTATATTGTGTTCTAAGTATTAAAGTTTCAACATCTGACTAAAGTACTACAATGAAGTCTGTTCTCATAAGGCTTATTGACTATCAAAACTTATGAATGCAGCTGGGATGCTTCTGTATGCAGATTTTCAGCACTACCAGATTTTTCTGTTAAAAGCTACATTCTATAAACTTCCAATGTGAGAGGTTCTTTGCACAATATTTTGCCTCTACCTTGCATTATTGGGAACTGTCTGCATCAAGATAACATGAGAAACTTCACATTTACAGTCTAGACTGATCTCTTCAGAACAGGCTCTTCCAGAATCAATCCATCAATTTAGGAATAAGATTTCTTTTTTTCCATAGCAAGTGATAAGGTAGCTTTCATGCTTTCTGAAATAGTATCTTTTTAGCTGGGGCTATTGAACATTTTGTGGAGATGCATGAATATAACTGGTCCTGCATTTCCACAAAATGCTTAGGCGTCCACCAATTTTAAAAATTGGTTCTGTACCTTGATCAGGAGAGAGACATTACAAGGTGTTATATGAATGGGGCTGCCCCAGCATGGTCTTTTTTAACTAGGGGAGTGTTGGCTAATAGAACAAGACACTGTGTGTAATACTGTAGAAGTGATTCTTTATCACATCTCCAAGTCTTGGGCTGCGTCTAGACTGGCATGATTTTGCCCAAATACTTTTAACAGGGATGTTTTTCCGTTAAAAGTATTTGCGCAAGAGAGCGTCTATACTGGCATGGATGCTTTTGCGCAAAAGACTGTGCCAGTGTAGATGCTCTCTTGCGCAAGAAAGCTCCGATGGCCATTTTAGCCATCGGGCTTTCTTGCGTAAGAAATTAACTTGCCTGTCTACACTGGCCCTCTTGTGCAAGAATACTTGCGCAAGAGGGCTTATCCCTGAGCGGGAATGTGAGAGTATTTGCGCAACAACCATTGATTTTGTACTATACAAAGTCAGTGTTCTTGCGCAAATACTCACGGCCAGTGTAGACAGGCAGCAAGATTTTGCGCAAAAGCACCCACTTTTGCACAAAATCTTGCCAGTCTAGACGCAGCCTTTGTGTTTGTAAAACTCCTAAGAGTCTTAGTTGGAAAATACTGGGTATTTTGATAATGATTGCATGTATCTAATTATCCACAGCTAGATTCTTGCTTTGCTAACTCAAAAAGAGGGTTTGTCTTCACTCTCCTTCCACCTGTTATTTGTGTCTGCTCAGTAAGAGGTCAGCTCCTTCCGGAATCAAGCTATATTATAAGGTTTTTGCCAAGAAGATGGGCATGTATTCCTATGTTTTGTAAGTCCCCGGGTTACGTACAAGATAGGGACTGTAGGTTTGTTCTTAAGTTGAATTTGTATGTAAGTCGGAACTGGTACATATTGTAGGGGAAACTGTAGCCAAACATTTCTCCAGAGCTCAGTTTTATTCTCCCACACCTCACTTCCCTCAGTCCTTTATTCTCAAGCTGAGGTGTCTGCTGAGAAAAGCCGCTCCGCGTCTCCCTGGTCTGCTGCGGGGGGGGGGCTAGCTTCGCATCTCCCTGGTCTGCTGGGGGGAAGCAGCTAGTGCGGGGTTGCCTCATCCCGTTTGTAAGTAGGGATCCGATTGTAAGTCGGATCCATGTAACCCGGGGACTGCCTGTACTTTGAATAACTTCAGGTAGTCTCTGACCCATCCAAGGCTTACTAACACCTACAAGATCTTTATCAGGCAATCTTAAAACTTAAATACCCATCTGGGGAAGTGAGATAACAGATTGACAGAGCTAGATGAGTACCCAGAAGTCAACTACTTCAAGACAGGCCCAACAAGGAAAATAACAGAACACCACTGGTCGTCACCTACAGCCGCTAGTTTAAACCCCTCCAGTGCCTCATTGACAATCTGCAACCTATCCTGGAAAATGATCCTTCACTCTCCTAGACCTTGGCAGATAGGCCAGTCCTCACCTACAGACCCTGCCCCCTTCCCCTCCACCTGAAGCAAATACTTTCTAGCAGCCACACACCACACCTGAGATACTCACCCAGGAACCTACCCCGGGCAACAACCACCATTGTTAGCTCTGTTCATGTAGATATGTGACACCATCACAGGACCTAACCACATAAGCCTCAACATCAGGGGTCATAATTGCACATCCTCTAATGTGAGAGATGCCATAAAGTATCAGCAATTCCCCTCTGCCATGTATATTGTCCAAACTGGACTGTCTCTGCGACAAAGGATAAGAACAGCCATACTGGATCACACCAAAGATCCATCTAGCCCAGTATTCTGTCTTCCAACAGTGGCCAATGCCTGATGCATCAGAGGCATTAGAACAGAACAGGTAATCATCATATGATCCTTCTCCTGTCATTCATTTCCAACCTCTGACAAGCAGAGGCTAGGGACACCATTCCTACCCATCCTGGCTAATAGTCATTGATGGCCCAAACCTCCATGAATTTATCTAATTCTTTCTTGAACCCTGTTAAAGTCCCAGTCTTCACAACCTCCTCTGGCAAGGAGTTCTACAGGCTGACTGAACGCTGCATGAGGAAATACTTCCTTTTGTTTGTGTTAAACCTTCTACCTATTAATATCATTTGGTGACCCCTTAGTTCCTATGTTATAGGAACAAGTAAATAACTTTTCCTTATTCACTTTTTCCACTCCATTCATGATTTTATAGAGCTTTATCATAGTCTCCTCCCACCCCCATCTCCTCTTTTCTAAGCTGAAAAGTCCAAGTCTTTTGAATCTCTCTTCATATGGGATCCGTTCTAAACCCCCTAATCATTTTTTGTTGCCCTTTTCTGAACCTTTTCTAATGCCAAGATATCTTATTGGAGATGGTGACCACATCTATACGCATTTTTCAAGTACCATGGTTTTTCAAGTACCATGGTTTTATATAGCGGCAATAAGATATTCTGTCTTATTCTCTACCTTTTTAAAAAAGATTCCTAATATTCCACTTGCTTTTTGACTGCCGCTGCACATTGAGTGGCTGTTTTCAGAAAACTATCCACAATGACTCCAAGATCTTTCTCTTGAGTAGTTATAGCTAAGTTAGTATAATTGGGATTATTTTTTCCAAATTGTGTTACTTTACATTTATCAACATTAAATTTCATTCCCCAATCACTTAGTTTGGTGAGAACTTTTTGAAATTCTTCACAGTCTGCTTTGGTCTAAACTATCTTGAGCAGTTTATTATCTGAAAATTCTGCCACATGTTCACCTCTTTCTCCAGATCATTTATAAATAGGTTGAATAGGATCTGGCCCAGTATGGACTCTTGGGGGACACCACTAGTTACTTCTCTCCATTCTGAAAACTTACCATCTATTCCCACTCTGTTTCCTGTCTTTTAACCAGTATCAGTCTATGAAAAGACCTTCTCTCTTATCCCATGATAAATTACTTTAAGAGCCTTTGGTGAGGAACCTTGTCAGGCTTTCTGGAAACCTCAGTACACTATATTCACTAGATCCTCCCCTCATCCACATGTATGTTTGACCCTCTCAAGCAACTCTAGTGAGGCATTATTTCCCTTTACAGAAACCATGTTGACCTTTCCCCCAACACATTATGTTCATCTATGTGTTAGGGATGTTAAACGTCTATTAATCAGCTAATCAAGTAGTTGATGGAATTTCCACTGACTACTCGATTAGTCGGTAAGGGGGACGCTCGCTATCCTGCTGTGCCCTCTGCCTTTTGAAATGTATAAGAGCTGCCCATGGCTCATTCCAAAGGAAGAAGCACACCAGGGACTGCTTTGGTTCCCGCTTTTGCTTTTTCCCCTGCTGCACCTCTCCTCCTCCTCCCACATAGATGGTGCTGAGGGGAACTGGCTTTTAAGCCAGCTTTCCCCTCTCCACCTTGGTGCCTCTGATATAGCGGCAGCAAAGGGGGGTGGGGAAGAAACTAGTTGAGTAGTGACTTGACACCCGATAAGCCTAGGCTTATCAGGTAATCAGCTAGTTGCTTTCATCCCTTCTATGTCTGAGAATTCTGTTCTTTACTATAGTTTCAACTAATTTGCCTGGTACTGACATTAGACTTACCTGTCTGTAATTGCCAGGATGTAATTCACCTCTAAAGCCCTTTTTAAATATTGGTGTTACATTAGTTATCTTCCAGCCATTAGGTACAGAAGCTAATGTAAAGGATAAAAAAATAATGGTTCACGATTGGAATCTCCCTAACATCCTCAGCTGTGAAGACCGAAGCAAAGAATTCATTTAGATAAATGGACACATCAGACATTTGGAGTAGTAATACACACAAACCTGCAGGGGAACATTTTAACTTTCCTGGTCATTATCATGAATTTAAAAGTAGCCATTCTTCTACAAAGGAATTTTCCCACCCAATTACAAAGAGAGACTGCAGAACTGGAATTAATCTACAAATTTGACACTGTTACCCTGGGCTTGAATATCCAGCTAGTGTCTTTAACGCACTATAGAGCCAATTTCTGTGGCCTTTAACAACATCTGCATTTTCACATCAAAAACTATGAATGGGATACCTCCAGTCCACTTAATTAATTTCATTAATATGGGTCCTACAATTGACAAGGTACTACTTTTTGTTATATATATTTTGGATTCTGTTATTTCCACTCCATTTAATCTGAAATGGGTCTTGGTAGCTCATGATAATATATTTTTCTTAGTCTCTAAGGTGCCATAGGACTACTCATCTTCAGATAGTAATATAAGAATAGTTTAAACTTAGTTCTATGTTTAGTGCAGAGGGCTGGTACCTTTCAATCTTATGTTTTTCAGAGGCACAGATATAAAACTTAATTCCAAAATTTTAAAACTTTTTTGACATGCCAGTGTTTTACTAAAGTTCTATTTCTTAAGGATACTAAAGCTTAGTGCAAGCATTCATATTACAGATACGAAAGAAATTGATTGTCAGGTATCCGATCTAATCTCCATTTTTAGAAGCTACTCCAGCAGTTCATCAGTG